TCTACAAATTATTTGTATTATTTCGAAGCTTATTTCAAGAATTACATTATGGACATATCGAATAGTTCAAACATATATCGAAAATAGTTAAAAATACGTTAAACGTGAACCTTTAAAAAGACGTCTAACTCGCATTTTAAAAAAAATATTATTTCATTAACATTTATTATTTTTGCAATACAAATTTCTCTATATAATTTTCATCTTTTTATTAGGAAAATTTCAAAAAATTTTGAAATTTTACATCTGAAAAAGTCATATCTCATGTAAATTTTTGGATGTAAAATTACACGGAGTATGATTTTTTTGGACGTAAATTTTTTATTGTAAAATTTCTACCAACTTCTTTATAAGTTCGATTGTGCCCCCAACGTTAAAGTTCAGCGTCCGCCCCTGGATATGTTTATAATAATAACTTAAATGTTAAATCTTTTACATTATCTTAAAAAATTCTCATCGATCGAGAGAAGAAGAGAACAATTTGTAAAAGCATTTTATCGTTCCAAAGAAGAACACGGCTTTAGGACAACAATTCAACTTCTCACAAAATGTAAAATTAAGACCATGATGGTTAGATAAGAGTATAGAAAGTTCTGGGATTAATTTTAGATAATCTCATATCAATGTGGATGAATGTACACAAGGGTGTACGCTCAAGTGGACCCCGGGCATGAATTTTATTCGATGCTACGTTAACCCTATTCTATCAATCTAATTGAATCAATCCAGGGTTAGGTTTAACCGAACCCTACCCCTATTGCCAAGTCAAGATCTAATCAAATCAAAGAAAATAAAAGCTAAAAAAAAAAGGTAAGTTAGGCCCATAAGGGAGGATCTTCCAGAAAGACGCAAATGTCAACAAGATGAAAACCTTGGGCAAAAGCGTTTTATTTGCTTGTCACGCACGTAACTGAAATTACTGTATTACCCATACCAATTACCAAGTGGGTGTAAAAATGAATTGCAAAATTATTTAATTGCTGAGCTACAGAAATAATTGTAAGCACATATTTTGGTAGGGACTACGATTTTAATTTTAATTAAAATCAACATTTAATTTTAATTATATATTTAATGGGATTAACATTTTTTCAACCATATATTTCATAGACTTTTATTAAAATTTATATAAAAAATAATAATTCACACCAAACAGGGACTATGATGACATTTCCTTTGGGCTTTCGGAAACTATTTTCAATAGAACTTTACAATTCAATTAATAATTTCACCGAATTCTCTTTTTGTGAATTGTGTGTGTTTGGTCATATTAAATGACACGTTTCTCACGATGATGTTCATGTCATATTTAAGATAATTGAAATAAATGTTTGATACAGGTGGTTCTGGAATTTAGAGATTTTTACCATAAGTAAGAATGTAATATACATTATTGGAATTCAATCCTAACCTAATATGTTCTCATAAATTAAAAAAAAAAAAAATTAGGGTGTGTTTGAACCACATTATTTTGGAAGAATATATTTTGCAATAGTAAATTGATGAATAATATGTAGTTGAAAAAGAAAGAAAAGTTACTGATGTGATGAAAAATATTATTTTATTGAAAAATTTGTGGTTGAAAATGAGTAGAATAATAAGAATAAAATTTTTAATATGGCTCAAACAGGGGCTTAATTGAACTGATAGGTGGAATCGTACCAGTATTGATCGAACTTTTTGTCCTTATTAGATAAAGAATTGCCTTCTT